TTGAAAATAGCTATTAAGGAAATTAAAGGGATAACAATAATGAACATTACCAAGTATTCAGCAGTACCACAAAACGTGTTGGTTTTTTGCCACGATTGATTGAATTGTTTTGATAGACCAAAGTCAGTAAGAACAATATGTCCATCGCGACCGATAAGAATGTTTTCAGGTTTCAAGTCGCTATAATTAATTAATAATTAATAATAAATTAATTAGTCACGTATAAAGCAGGTCACGTGATCGAGGAAAGAATAAAGACAAAGAATAAAGACAAAGAATAAAGAGAGAAACTAACCGATACACAATACCCAAACGATGTAATTCTTCTATACTTTATATTTATATCGTTATTTTATAAATGTCTTTCTTTATAATTGTTATTTTACATTTCTTCTATTATATTATTTTACATTTCTTCTATTATTATTTTACATTTCTTCTATTATATTATTTTACATTTCTTCGATTATATTATTTTATATTTCTTCGATTTTATAATTAGTTATTACAACGTGATCCTAGTCAACGACTAGGGTGTGGACCAACAGGTTCATTGGAGATAAAAACCCATCCATATTTTGATTATGTTGATTGGGATGATGTTTTAAACAAAAGAATATGTGCCCCTTACATTCCAACTATTGAGCATGAGATGGACCTTCGAAACTTTGATGATGTATTTATTACAATGTCTCCAAAATTATCCTTACCTAAACGTGACGTTCCGGCCGAAATGCAACAATGCTTTGCTGGTTATTCCTTTTCCGAAAATCGCTCTGATCGCTCTGATTCAAGATCTATTAATACATTACGTGCTAGTAGAAGTGTTAATCGTTCTCTTGCCGATATTACTTCTTTACACAGAACTAATTCTTCCGCCACTCTTGGATATGAGCGTTATGATCATAATGACAACGATTGGAATAATGATTTAGATTATGTTTCTAAATGTCCGACTATTATGATTGGGGATACAAAGTATCGTAACCATCTTTATCTCAACAAAAGAATTTCTCAATTCTTATTGGATGACTCTCATTTGAATATGGGCGACAATGCTTCTTCA